AAAATGTTTGGTTTAGTTTTTGCGTCCCCTCCCATATCAAATTGAATATCAAAAGCTGTCACTGATGACCAGTTTGCAGTCTTCATATTTTTGAATACTTTTTTGATACTTAAAGATCCTAATATTATAATCAAATACACTGCAAATATATAATTCTCTTAATTTAAAATGTTTTTCTTATTTATAGGCCCCAATTTGTCTGTACTTAAATAGAAAAAACAGATGTTTCTCACTTGTCTATGTATATTGTAGATTTTTATCTAAAGTGGGTGAGAGGTATATTGCCAATATCAAATGATACAAGTGTAGTGGTTTTGAAATTGGAATATACAGATTTATATAGAAATTTACACCTGATAATCCAATTTTTAACATAACTTTGAACTACACTTCTCCATAGCAATAATTACAAAACTCATTAGTTTATTTTTTCATGATATGTGTTATCTTTTTGACACTAATACACCTTGATTGCATAAAAAATTCGAAGAAACTCATTCAAACTTGTTTTAAAATAGTTTCTTATAGTTTTGTTGTATATTTACAGTATGACACTTCAAATTTGATATTGGTAAAAACGAGATCCTGAATATTTATTTTTTAATTGTAATAAAATAGTGTTTTTTAATATTGTAATTCTGTTTTATTCTGTAGTCATGAGAAATTGTGTAGAGAGGAAGAGGAGAGAGAAAAAAGAAGAACAGTAAATGAAACAAAACTCAATCAACCTATTAGTATGAGATCCCACTGCAAGATCACTACATTAGTAACATAGTTAATCAAACTCACATTTTTACATAAATTTAAGAATAGGAAAATACATTGATAACATGTTGCCAGTCAAAAGTGGCCGCAAATAGTTTTAATCCAATTAATCATAATTAATTTTTGAACAAAAATTCCATTCATTTATTTTTTAACCATAAGTGTAAATATTGTTCTGAAGCTATTTTCTTGTGGCATTGTAAATTAATTACTATTTATAACTGGGAATAAGCCACAATTAAAGATAAAAAATTTACTGTTTGTATTTTGAGAACGATTTCCGAATTGGAAATTGAAACGTCAATAAACGTATTTTTTATCTTTAATTGTGGCTTATTCCCAGTTATAAACATAAGTGTAAAAACCTGTTAAAAATTGTTTGTTTAAATTTAGTTTACATTGTATGGTATTAAATGGTATGATGTTAAAGTTACCAGTGGATTAGGTTACATGGCGATGTATGACTCCACATGAACTTGCTGGTTCCGAGACGATGTGTCTATGAGGACTAGTTGCTTTCATTAAGTCTTCATATACACATCCTCTAAGGACCAGCAATTTCAGGTGGAGTCATACGTCGCCATGTTACCTAATCCACTGGTAACTTTAACATCATAATATTTAATACCATACAATGTAAACTAAATTTAAACAAACAATTTTTAACAGGTTTTTACCCACATATTTAGTGGCTCAATACATATATACCTAGGCACTGATAATGGAATATGGATTCCGAAAACGTTTTGTGATATAGCCCAATTGGCTTTTTCAATTATATCCCTTTTTTACTTTAAACTGTTGATTTTTATTGTTATCATTGACGTCATTAGTTACACTATCCTCATATTTAACTTATTTCTCATCAAAAATGACATCTGTAGATGTCATTATTTGGACATGCATGAACTTTTTCACTTTATAGCCCCCATAAAATTATTAAATCCTCTGAGATATAGCAAACTGATCACTGGCATCCTTTGGAGATCCATAAACTCATCACCACAAATAGGTAAACTCATCACCAGGATTTTTGTCCCCAAGCTCTCGCTGGTTTCTAATGCAGAAAATTTCCTGTTATCTGTTTACACTTCTTGTTTATGTAGTCATCTATTAATTCATAAATTGTTTTAAGCACATTACTTTAAAATTTAACTGATTTATTTATTTATATAGGGTTTCACACAGTGAGTGACCTATTAGATACATTAGAAATGCATAGTTTTAGGTAGCTATCAATAGAATTTAGTAAATTTCTTAACAGTTTGCAAGCATTTTATGGTACTAAGGTGGGTCAGTGATCAGTTTGAAATTCTCTCCAGGTCTATTTTAAAACACTGGTTGTATTGCAGTGATGAGTTTGTACTATCTACAAGTGCATTTATGCTAATTTGTGATGAGTTTACATGTATCCATTTATTTTGTTATTTTTACGATCCCACAATCTATATCCTGAGATAGAAGAACCTACCATTATTGTAGTTGTTGTTCTATTATCAAATTTATTTGGCGTAGGCTGTATTACACTCCATGCTTTAGAATCAAAAGCTCTAAGATTATTAATATTATTCTCGTGTACAGTAGGTAATGTAGTAAAACGTAATAAATTAAAAATAAGGTAGTAGTATATTCGTGTTCAGTAGGTAATTGAAGTATAAAATTACAGTAGATGCATTCCAATGTTTCTTGTGCCAATACCCTAGGTTTAAAGATCCTTCAAACATTTTAGATATTAGACCAACCCTATCTTTGGTTATTAATTTTATTAGATACAGTTTTTTGTTTTTAATGATAAAAATAATACCAATCTAAAAACTGTATACATTTTTGAACATTATTTTTTTATTTAGATTTAGTTTAATTTAGATCTTATTTAATTCTGTTATCTGTGATGGCAACAACAAATTGATTCCCTAACCATTGTGTCCAGTCTGAACACAGGTTTACATTGGGAAAAAAAGTGTACCAGTTTTATATCGATACATTTTTGACAAAGTAACGTAAGTCACAAAAACAATTTGTAGAAAAAACAATTTTTTAATTTAACCTGGTTAAACTTATTTAAATTATGACTAAAAAAAACTTGTCCTACTTGTCCTAAAAAAGGTTTAAAGTAATTCTAGGCTTACTACACTTTTTCAATACCTTTTTAATAGTAATTGCATTAGTTTAATTGAAAAACATTATTTTCGCCAAAAATGTCACTTATGTTACTTTGCCAAAAATGTATCGATATGACGGGAAGTGTACAAACATTTTTAAATTTACTTATTTTATGAGAATTCCCCCCATAATCCAATCTGATACTCTTAGTTTTAACATTATGTTTGGTTTTGATTAAATTTATAAAATCAAGAACATTATCTTCAGCTTCACTTTTATGTCCTAGTAATTTGACAACTGAATGTATTAAATCATTTTGCTTTTTTTTCTTTACTATAAAAACTGCATTGTGTACTTTTACATACAAATATTTAAGTCTAAATGATTCAAATGCTCAAAAAAGTATCTATATCAAATGTTTCTATCAAACTCAGTTTTATCTGAAACAGTTATATTTAAATCCACATGTTTTATTTCTAATTTAAAAAGATACAAATTATTTACTTTGGGACATTAAGTGGTATATGTTTTTCCAATAATAAATGCACAATCATTTTTAAATATCATCTTTTGCTCTTTTTAGTTTATAAACCCATAAAGCAAGGTTGGTTCCACATGGTTTTTTTTAAAGCTCTGGAAGAGAAACCACTAAAACCACAACAGACATCTTTCAACATAAAAATATAAAGAAGCTTACTTCATACATCTTATAAAATTGGAAAATTAAAACTATCAATGGAAAATAAATTCTACTAATATCCATATGTATTAGTATAAGCACACAAGAAGTAAGACAATTGTCAGATGGAACAGTGCAAAGGAAAATATTAACATGATACATGCAAGTATATAATACCACACCAAAATTCTCTAAAATATTCACAAAGTAGGTACCCCAAAAAGGGTACCTACTTGCCATGAACTAGGTACCCCCAAAAGAGATAGAAAATATACAAGACTTATTAAGTATGGAAAATAGAAGCTATTAAACCAACAACAGTGGGGAAATTTGTTAAGTATAAGATGTATCTTTTGTGTCACATTATTAGCAAAAGGTACCTAATTAAGTATCTATTCCTACACATACATTCCCATGTTTCTTATATTAGATTGTTTGCATTTTCACCATATATTTTGACATATCCAGTAATGACACAAGGTTATGGGTTTCCTATACACAAGAATGTCAAGACATAAGAATTTTTATTTTAATTTATCTAGTATACAATTGTTCGTATATATTATCATTGACCTTAGAAAAATGAGTCAGTTCCATTAAGTGTTAAAATAAATTCTGTTTTAAATATTGTTATAATACCTGTGGCAATATTTTAATAATTTACTACAAATTATTCATAAATATAATTATATGAATTGATTATCAGCTGGGCAATTTTCATATAAAAGTTGATGGACAAATTTAGCAGAATGAGATTCTTCAGTACTAGTGTAAGTAAGATGTCATAATGTCTGAGGAGATGAAATTTTTATCAATGAATTCTGCTTCACTTACTGATGATTGTGCAATGATTTTTATTCTCTGGAAAACGTTCTTTTTATGTAATTTCCATTTAAAATATATCTTATTTTTAAAAGCCACTGCCATTATCCACAAATAATATTGATAAGTATTCAAATCGTACATGCAATATTAGCAATACCTTCTGTTTTAAATATTGTTATAATGCCAGTGGCAATATTTTAATAATTTACTACAAATTATTCATCAATATGATTAATTATAGGAGTTGATTTTCAAGCTGGGTATAGCAATTTTCATATAAAAGTTAATGTAAAAATTTAGCAGAATAAGATTCTTCATATTAATCCAGTGTTTATTAATCCTATTAGAGTTCTTGGTGTTTCCATTCTACATACCTACTATATTATATTTCTATACCTTCTTAAATATGCAATAAAAAAATGTCAAGCATCTGATCTAATTGTCCCAGAAGTTTTAGAAAAAAACAAACACTGCAACAATAGAGTAAACCTAGAGAAATGTTTAAATAATACACTGAATCAGTTAAGTTATAAAGTTGCAAGTATGTTTACAGTTAAGTTTACACCTAATTAAACTGTTTAAACTGTATACAGTCATAAATAGGATATCAAATTAGTAGTAATTGTACCTTATTTAGTTTTCCTAGGGCTGATATTAAATCAGCCCATTCTGATGTATACTCGAAGTTTTTCAATGCTTTATCAATCGCAGCCACATATAAACGATATTTTGAGTCTTTCATAAGCTCATACTCTTCCATCGCCACTGTAGTCATATTTTTAAATGAAACAATTAAAACGGTCGCGCGTGTTGATGAATATGGCAATCTGCATTCACTTAAATATTAATTGGCAATTGTGATTACATATGTATCTTCATTTTAATGTCATTTTTGTACCTATATATAGATCACCAAATAGTTAAGAATGGAGTAAACAGTTATTGTATTGTTGTTCTCCGCGAGTTAAAAAGATGTCTTAATTTAACTAATCATTATTCACACTATTAAAAATGTTCGGAACTACGCGTTATAATTATTAGTACACTAGAATTCCACTTTAAAAAATAATCTTTCTTTGTACACTTTCTACTATAATAATACTTGTTCTTACACTCTACCACACTCCACATAGCTGTAAAATCCAACTAGCTGATTTTGACATTCACTAAACGTCAGCCAGTTTCGAAAAGGTTAACAGTTAAGCACCATCTGTTGATTTTAAAATAAACTACATACTTGGAACATGCTTGGAACACTACGTTTATAGAAACTTACGTTTACGTCACTTACGTTCTATAATTTTTTACGTCATAAATCATCAATATTATCATGTATCATGGATTTTCTTAGCAGAAATTACAATTCAAGTAAGATTATGACTGAGATTATGTTTTATTTTAGAGTATAGTTTTAACTTGCGTAGAAAAGGAACTTTGGGTCCGTTTATTATCAAAAAGAAAGTTAAATTAGTGTTCTGTGAAAAAGATAGTAAAATATTTCACTCTTGACGGTGACGGATTTTTGTTATGACTTATGATGTACGAAAGATGAAGTTTTAGTCTTTAACTTCGCAAAAACAATATTAACTACAAAGTATTAAAAACATATGTTTAACATTAATTACCAATATCATGATGGATGAACAAAATATACCAATTGATATTAATACTACCAAATTACTAGAATGGTTAATAAGTCGAAGACATGTTAAATCTGATTGGCAGAACTCGATATTAAAAATCCGAGAGAAAATTAATAATGCTATTCAAGATATGCCAGCTCATGAAGGAATAATAAAATTACTTTCTGGACAGCACATCAATTATTTCCATTGTTTGAAAATTGTTGATATTCTCAAAGAAACAGAAGCAGATTCTAAAAATCTATTTGGTAGATATGGTTCCCAGAGAATGAAAGATTGGCAAGATATAGTTACATCTTACCAAAAAGATAATGTCTATGTTGCGGAGGTATCACAGATGTTGATTCGAAATGTAAGTTTTGAAATACCTAGTTTGCGAAAGCAAGTCTCAAAATTGGAGCAAAGTCAATTGGAATGTGAGAAAAAAATTAAGGATTATTCCAGAGCAGAATCCATTGCTCAAAAGGAATTTAAGACCTCTTGTGATCAGTTAGGAATTTCAGGGAAGAAAATTAAAAGTGAATTAATAGATTTGCTTAAAGATCTACCAGGTACATATAAAACTATTTCAGAAAAAATTAAAATTGTTGCTCCAGCTGTGGAATTGTATAATGCCTTTAATAAATATTTATCTGGTAAGAAAATTGATGAAAGCGCTCTTCCACTCATAGAGTACCTCATAAAACATGGTAACACTACCACTTATGAATACATTTATGGTGAAAAGCCTGTCACAATAGAAGAAAGTACTCCTGATATTTCAGAAGACAAAAGTTCATCTGATAGTGATAAAATTGACTTTGGTGACATTGATTTTGGGGATAATGGTGGTGAAATTAACTTTGATATTAACACTGATAATAGTACTATTGATTTTGGAGATGTGATTGAAGAAAGTCAAAATATTGATTGGGGAGCAAGTAATCCAGAAGAAGGTTTTGAAATAGTAACACATGCAGATTTGGATATCAATTTGGAAGAATCAGGTATAGTGGTTGAAAAAACTGGCATTGATGGAGGAGTAGCTAAAGGAGAAGAAGCTCTGACTATCCTTGACAATCCCAAGACTCAAGAACAGATTATTAACAGTCTTATGGAATTGAGTGCCTTCATAAAAATGAGACTATATGAAATGATGAATGATACTGATATGCTCTCCACTTCACAAATGCAAGATGCTCCAACTATAATTCAAATGCAAACAGTAGAATCAATTACAATTCTAAATGATTATATTAGTATAGCTTTAGACCAATTAACAAATAAGAAAATTCAGCATTTGCACAATATAAAACATTCTCCAAGGTATGTAGATATATTAACTGCAAATTTAAATCAAAAGCTAGCCATTGTTGACAAAATGAAAGGTAACAAGGCAATTCTTGAAGATAAGATTAAAACTCTTAGAGAAGAAGCAGGAAGTATTGAACCAATTATAAAACTGTTGATAGAAAAAACAAAGCAGCTCCAGAAAGAAATTCAGGATGATATTTCCAAAAAGTATAAGGGGAGGATTGTTAATATTATAGGAGGGGTTAATGCATTATAATTAAAATTATTCTGTATATAAAATTATATAATAAATAAATGATATGTTAATAAATGTGGTTTTATTTTATCATCAATTATTTTTAAACATAAAAAAAGGAAAATTAAATTTTCATCTAACATCTTTATATTGCTTATTCAAGTGTGGGTAGGATATATGTATATCTCTGCCTGTATTTGCTGTACACATTTTACAAAATTTACTGAACTATAACACCTTGATATTTTACTCAAATGCCAACTATTCCTTTTTCAATTGTGTTTAATTGCATAGTTTAGACTGTTTATTTGGTAAGTACAGTTATACTGCTATCCTACGAAAGACCCCCGTATTTCCAGGTATCATTGTTTTGAGAAAAATGTGGTTTAATATATTTTGTTTTGCCTTATTTTTTGACTATTACCTGCCGTATTGGCTTAAAATTAATATTATAATGGTTTTTGACTACCCTGAAAATTATTATGTAAAAGTAAACTTGATAAATAATCAGATGCTACTAGAAAACGGAGTTACGGGATTTAAAATTTCTTTGAGCATGCAATAGTTCTTAGTAAAAACCCTGTAAAACGAAAAATTGTATTTTACGTGGTTCTTCATCATCATTGGTGCTACAGCCCTATAAAAGAGCCTCAACCGTCCCAAGTCTATTACTCCAGTCAGTTCTATCCATTGCCAACTGTTGCCAGTTTGCTGCACCTATTTTTCTACCATCCTCATCTACACCATCCCTCCATCTGAGTTTTGGCCTACTTCTACTTCCCACAGGTTGTGACATAAGGATTCTTCTAGGAGGATTGTTCTGTTGTGATCTTGCCAGATGTCCTGCCCATCTTAGTCTTCATATTTTTATAAGAGATACTACGTCTTTACCACCAAATATATATTTATATCTGTGACATATCTTGTAGTTGCACCTCCTTCTCCAAACACCATTTTCACAGATGCCACCAAATATTCTTCTCAGGATCCTTCGTTCAAATATAAGCAGGAGGTTTTCATCTGCCTTGGAAATGGTCCATGACTTTGATCCATATGTCAACACTGGTTGTATAAGGGTTTTGTATATGGTTATTTTTGTTTTTTGGCTTCTTAAGTTTCTGCTTCTCATATGTCTACTCAATCCAAAATAGCATTTGTTTGCTAGGATTATTCTTCGCTTGATTTCTTCCGTCATGACGTTGTCCTTGGTGATCAGGGAGCCTAAGTATGTGAATTTGTCCACCACTTCAAAGGTAGAGTTATCAACAGTGAATTGGTGGCCGATGTTTCTGGCTCTATTGTTGGGTGTTGATGCCATTATCTTAGTTTTCCCCTCATTTGCAGGCCCATATTTTTTGAGGCATTTGACAAAGTGGTATACATTTCTTCTAGTTTGCGTGTTGTGCGGGCAACCAGGTCAACATCATCTGCATATGCCAAAATTTGGGATGATTTATTAAAAACGTTTCCCCTGTTGTATATTTGGGCATCCCTGAAAGTCTTTTTCAGAGCTATGTTGAAAAGGAGACACGCCAGCGCATCTCCCTGTCGCAGCCCAACATGCGTTTCAAATGCCTGTGATTGTTCGCCCTGTATTTCGACTTTGCAAACAACTTTACGCATTGTAGCCTTAACCAATCTTATCAGTTTATCGGGGATGTGGAATTCATCCATGGCTTCATACAATTTATTGAAGATCTGGTCTCTTGTTGATCAACCAGGCCTAAAACCACTTTGATATTCGCCAAGAAGCTCCTCTGAATATGCACTTAGGCGACTATATAAAATACTCGAAAATATTTTCTATGCTGTATTAAGGAGGGTTATTCCCCTATAGTTTCTACATTCCAATTGATCACCCTTTTTGTGTAGGGGGCAAACGATCCCAATACACCATTCTTCCGGGATTTGTTCCTCATTCCAGGCTCTCAGTATGATTTTATATACCTATATGGTTGGTCAGAGTAGCACCTCCACATTTAATAAGTTCCGCGGGTATACCATCACTTCCTGGAGATTTATTATTTTTTAGGTGTTTTATTGCATCCCGTACTTCTTGAATTGATGGAGGCTCTAATGGTGTATAGTGTAATGTTCTTTATAATGTTCCACCCACCTTTTTAATACTTCTTCTTTTGTATTGAGTATATGCCCCTCCTTATCTTTACATAGTCCGATCCTTGGTTTAAATTCTTTTCTTGCATTATTTAGATTTTTATAGAATTTTCTTGTTTAATTTTCCTTTTTTAATGCCTCAAGTTCTTCCAATATTATATTTTCATAAGTTCGCTTTTTTCTCCGATGGATGTACCTACTTCTCTTCTCTTCTGAGATCTTTATATTTTTGTTCTTTTTCTCGGGTTCTTCTTTGCTGCATCAGTTTATATGCATTGTTATTTCTTCTTGTAATGTTCTCGCACTCAGCATCGAACCACTCATTGCGTGGTGATGGTCTTTGCGGCCTAGAATGTTATTTGCTGCGTCTTTTATATAATTCTTACACATTTCTCATTGTTCACTAATAGTTAGATTCTCTTTAGTTATGTACCTATTTAGTTTCGATATAGTTTTGAAACCTTGTGCCAACTAGCAAATAATCTTAATCAATATTGCCGCCTCGATAGGTGCAGACATCCATAAGGTTGGAGAAATGTCTAGCATCTATGATCACATGATCAATTTGGTTGTTCGTTAATCCATCAGGTGAGGTCCAAGTCCCCATATGTATTTTTTTGTGTAGAAAACATGTGCTTCCTACGATCATGTTCTTTGTGGCTGCGACGGTAACTACTCGGTGACCATTCGAATTAGTATTATTATGGAGACTATATTTAGATACCAATGTGCGCTAGATATATTTCTTCCCTTCCGATTTTTTAATCACCGATTACTATTTTAATGTTATTTCTGGGACAATTGTCATATATGTTTTTTCTAATTCATCATAGAAATTGTCTTTTTCTTCG